CATATAGGGTACTGTTTTTCTTGATGTTTCTAGTTCTACACAGTAATTAATCATTCAGCAATACTTGCTGAGTGCCTACTATATGTGAGGCACTATTTTTTGTACTGGTAATATAGTCCTAAACAGATAGTCTAAACAGATAGATGGTAATATAGTCCTAAACAGATAGTCTAAACAGATAGATGGTAATATAGTCCTAAAGCAGAACGTTTATAGAATTTGTATTTAGTTAACAACAAATACTGAATAAGATACCCATATACACATTAATTAGTGAAAGGGTTAAAGAAAAAAAATAAAGTATGCAAGGAGTTATGTGTTATTGTAGTGGATAGGTTGCTTTGAAATGTTAGATGGGGTTTCAGAGAATGCCTTACTGAGATGACTTTTGAGTAGAGATCTGAAGAATAGGAAAGAGGAATTCTACAGAGAAGGAAAGAGCATTCTACATAGAAGAAAGTAAATGTAGAGGCCTTGTACGTGGAATATCTGACTTATTGAAGTAATAGAAGTGAAGAAGCTGGAGTAGAATGTCAGAGAATGAGGCCAATAGAAGACAGAGGCAGAGAGGTAATCCTGTGGGCGGGGGGCATGGGATCACATAAGGCCTTATAGTTCATGTGACATTTGAGAGCAAAGCATTGTACTGGCAGGTTTGGAATAGCTGAATGACAAGTTTTGATTTACCTTTTAACAGGTTCACTCTGGCTTCTCTGTTTAATAGTGTGTAAAGTCATTTGCTACAACCTTTATTCTTCTTTCATTAGCTCTTGGAATAGGATTATTTTATATAGGTCATAGGAACTATATGGTATAAGGACAGCTTGGACAAGTCTGGGATTAATGATTATATGGCATATTGTCTGTCTTTACACAGGTTTTGGCATGAATCTGTCTTTATCATAGTTTCTCAATACATTGCAGGGTCAAATCTTAACAGTAAACCTAAAGTAGTTTTAGCCCTGAGTCACTGGTTTTCTCATGGATAGTTTGACAATGAGAATGACTGGAGGTGTAACTTTTTTATGTTCTTAAAAAACATGATTTTAAACAGTATCATTTTTTTTTTTTTTTTGCCATTGGAAATTTCATGTGCAGTTCTCAATGATGAAGACATTAAAGTGTATTTTAATTTTTTTATTGATAACATAATAATTATAAATTTATGGAATGCAGCGTGGCATTTCAGTGCCCTGTCCCCCCACCCTGTACTGGGGATTGAATCCAGAGGCACTTTACCACCGAGCTACATCCTCAGCCCTTTTTATTTTTAATTTTTGAGACAGGGTTACTAAGGCTGGTCGTGAACTTGCAATCTTCCTTCCTCAGCCTCTGGAGTTGTTGGGATTACAGACAAGTGTCGTCATGCCCAGCTCAATACATTTATACAATAGTGTTGAGAACATTCAAAATCCTTCCCACTGGCTATTTGAAAATACACATCATTGTTATCCTACTATACTATAGAGCATTAGAAGTTATTCCTCCTCAACTGTATGCTTGGACTTATTAATAGTTCTCTTCATTCCCTCATTCCTCCAGTTCTCTCTCTTCCCTCACTCTTCCACACTCTTCCCAGGCTCTAGTAACTACTATTCTACTGTTTACTTCTGAGATCAACTTTTTAGCTTCCTCATATAAGTGAGGACATGGAGTATTCATCTTTCTGTGCCTGACTTATTTCACTTAACATAAAGCCCTCCAGTTCTACCTATGGCTACAAATGAAATAATTTCATTATTTTTTAATGGTTGAAAATATTCCATTGAAAACACGTTTGAAGGCATGGAATCCTAAATTACTACATATTTCCTTTGTTGAAGAACAGCAAAAATGGTCTGCTTTTCACACTTTGTCTTTATCCATGTACGTTTGTTCTCTTAAGTGGTAGAATGATCTCATAAGTAATAGTTGATTAACCAAGTTCTTTGCTATTCTTAAATATGCTAACTATAATTTTAACTAGTTTGAGTTGTGATGCTATTCCCAGTCTGTCATGTAGTTTTTTTCTATCCCAATACAGGCTTTTCCAGCTCTACGGTAATCACAGTTTACACAGAGTTCTTTATCTGAACCCAACTATTTTTAACCACCCTGTTGAAGTTAACATTTAAACTGAGGTATTCTGACCTACCATTAATAGGTAATTGCGTTGAGTTGGTCCATATTTCCCTGAGAGAGCTGCTTTTCCTTACTCTCAAACTTGTTTTAAGAAGAGAGTGGGTGGTAGAGAGAGACTCAGGAAGAAGAGACATTTTCTTTATTTTCATTACGTTTAAGATAATTATTGTTCTGCGCAAATGCTTCTGCTGACCACAGTCGTCAATCCTCATTTTCCAATTCTTTCATCTCCTGCTGAATTTTTTTTGTTAGTTTCATCTGGATTCTTATGATACTTTAACTCCTTATACTTCTAGTCTGTCTGCCCTCTTCTGTTTATGAAGCCCAGCTTCTCTTTTTGTCAGTCCAAGGCTTCAAAGGTGCTAAGAAGGTTGTAAAACTGTTTTGATTGGATTCACCGTAAAATGATTCTTTGGAATCTTACCTTCATGGACTGACAGTTTTATTTTTCATCACTTATTGATTCCCTAAAGTCTTCCGTATACAGACTTCTAAGATTTTTCTACACTGTAAATGCCCAAATCCATATTTACCTATTTTTCTTTTAGAAAGTGATGTTGCCTTCTATTATAGTGAACAGATGGAGGCCATTTTGCAGAAAGTTCCTCAACCTTCCTCTCTCAAATTTTGAATTTATTTTCCATGTTAACAGAGGCTTTTCTGATCTTGTTGGCTGAGGTATGTGTCTCCATTTTCCATTTTGATAGGGGATGTTTTCATTATCTTTTCTTGGCCCCAGCCAGTCTCACATCTCGGTTTCCTGAATGATTTATCACTTTCTCATGTTCTTTCAAGTTCTCTCTAGCCAACCCCTGTCCCACTTTTAGTAGGTGACTTTATTTCTATTTTCCAGAAATAATGGAAGCTATCAGAAACGGCACCCTCAACTTTTTTTCATTTCCACTATTCCCCCTCCAAGCAATATGTTTCTCTGTGTCAGTTTATACAACAAAGCCAAGTCTCTTTAGTCATGTTCTAGAATCCATCCTCTTTTCTAAACTAGTGTTATCCAGTAGAATTTTCTATATGGAATCATTCTGTTTTGATGCTGTCCAGTACTGTTGCACCACTAGCTACATGTGACTTGGACCCTTGAAGCTAATGTGACTGAGGAATTAAATTTATCTTAATTAATTTAAACTTAATTAATTGAAAACTACGTTATAGTGGTTACTATAATGAATAGTGCAGCCTCTAGACTTTAATGCATAAAATGTTCATTCCTGTTACTTCTTGTTTCTTGAAACTCTTCAAGCATGTTTGTCTTCTCTTCTACATTTAAACAGGTTTAACTTTTCCCATCTTAAATACCTAGATAATACTAAAACCCTTTACCACCTCTTTTCATCTACCTCTTCTTTCTGTTCCCTCATGACATTTTGTTGGTTTCTATAACTTGAGTTCAATAAGGACTAAAAAGGGCTGTCTTATAGTGAGATCTACAACTATTTTTCTTTTTTTTCTTCCATATTTTTTTATTGGTGCATTATAGTTGTACATAATGATGGAATTCATTGTTATATGTTGATAGGTGTTTGCAGTAGAACCGTGTAATTTGGCCAATATCATTCTGCAATAGTTCCCTTTTCCCTCCTGTCCTTCCTCTTGGTCCCTTCTACTCCCTTGGTTTCCCCCTCAATTTTTATTGAAAATGAAAAATTTTCTGTTTTCCTCTCTAGCTTCCACATGAAGAAACATATGACCCCTGACTTTCTGAGTTTGGCTTATTTTTCTTAACATAATGTTCTCAAGTTCCAAATGTTTTCCTGCAGTTGACATCGTTTCATTCTTCATAGCTGAATAAGACTTCGTTGTGTATATGTACAACATTTTCTTTACCCATTCATCCACTCATAGACACCTAGGCTGGTTCCATATACACACCTAGGCTGATTCTATAGTTCGGCTATTGTGATTATGTTGCTATAAACATGGGTATGCATATATCACTATCATGCCAACTTCATTTCTTTAGGATGAATACTGAGGAGTGTTTTATGATCCAGTGGTAATACTGGGTTGTTTGGTGTTTCCATTCTTAATCTTTTGAGGAACCTCCATACAGATTTCCATAGTGATTGTACAAATTTATAATCCCACCAGCAGTATAAAAGTGTTCCTTTTTCTCCAAATCCTCTCCAGCATTTAGTATTATTTGTATTCTTGTTGGCTGCCATCCTAACTGGAGTGAGATAAAAATCTCAATTTAGTTTTTATTTGCATTTCTCTCCAACTGTTTTTCAATGAGAATCCAGTACATACTGTATCTTCCCCAAATTGATTGTAGGTTGCTCTGTTTTAAAAAAATTCCTGTGTCATTATTTTTCTTGGTTCTGTTTTCTCTCAATTTTGTACTGTTTACTCTCCTTTTTTTCCTCTGATGCTCCTACATGTTGGTATTTCTGTATCAGACTGTATCCTGTTTCTTCACCCTCCTATTCTTACTGCACTCTTTTTCCCATAAATAACTATAAATGCTATAAATACTGTTTCTTATAATGCTTTGTTTTCCTCTGTACATTGTTTATCTGTATATATCTTATTGCTTTTCTATTAATTCATATGCCTCTTGGGGACTGATACTGTTTTTACACTTGATTCAATAGAATTTTTCAGTCTTAGGAAAGGATTTGTTTTGTTTAATCCATATGAAATCTTTTGGTTTCCAGGTAACACATATGATTTTTTTGACCAGTCATAAAGGCTCAGCCAAAATAGGCTTTGTAAAAACTCACCTGTTTAGTTGGGATTTTAGGAGTATGATATAGTTATTCTTCAGTTATATATGACTCCTATAAGAATTTAAAGCTGTAATTTTAATATCTTTATATTAATACTAAAAAAAGTGCTAGTACTGAATGAATTGTTTTTCTTTACAGCCAGTTGCTGAACCAATCCCCATCTGTAGTTTCTGTCTTGGTACAAAAGAACAAAACCGGGAAAAGAAGCCAGAAGAACTCATCTCCTGTGCAGACTGTGGCAATAGTGGTATGTGATTTTCTTTTTACCTTCTAACACTAGCCTGGTAAAGCAGAGGGAAGTATGTGTAACTGAGTTGATACCTTTGATCCTTTTGAAATTAATGTTTCAGTCTGACTCTGGTTTAGGTAACTGAGGTGAACTTCTACACTAGAGAGGGATTTGAAAAGCTGAAATGTTTAATTCAGTTAATTTAAATCACATCTTAGGTTGTTTTGTAATAAAACTGTACTTATTTTTTTCCTGTTGATCTTTATGTTTCATTATTGAACATCTGCTTAAATCACAGCAATCAGTTTGAAGTTATTGCCAGTTTCTTTAATAATCACTACTTATCTTTCTTGATTTATGCCTCAGGCTCGATGCGTAGAACCAGGATGATAACAGATTTGTTTTTCTTGATGGAAACTTACTTGTGTCACATGGGGACACAGAGTGTTGACACTGCAATTTGGTGAGCAATGTGAAATTCTGGGCCCTAAGAAAGATTTTGCAGCCTCCCAATTTCTTAGTTCAGAGTTATTCTTTGAATTTTAAGAACTCACAAGGAAAAGCGTTAATAAACCAGCATTATTTTTGATCATGGGCTTAATTTTCAGTGTCTTATATCAATAACCTTCAGGACTTGGTCCAGAAAACAAAGGCACACTATAGATACTTCAAGAGGATGGGGATTTTGGAATTAGGTATTTGTGAAATTGTTGGAAGGGCAGAAGAGGCAAGCTCTAGGCTGGGCTTTAAGGACTTTGAAATGGAAACAGTTCTGCAGAAACTGACCCACCAGAGGACTGTGTTTGACTCTATCTGGGACAGATGGAAGCATGAGTCTAACACAAAACTATTGAGTATAGGGTACTGAGATACTGAATTTGGTCATTATCCTAACTGCCTCTGGAATAGCCATGAAGGAGAAGAGTGGCTTTGCTCATGGCTTCACTTATCTTTAGAAAACAGTAGTAGAAGGAAGGTGATCTTTGCCTCATTTCTGCATTTCAAATATTCCTTGAATACATCCAGTTGGAATTCAGCTAGGCTCAGTTCATATCTAGAGCCTAACTGCAAAGATGTCTAGGAAATATAGTTTTTAGCTTTTTATTTTTAATATGTAGAAGCCTTAGAAGAAGGTGGGAATAGATCTTGAGTGCTAGGTAACCATATTCACTTACCAAAATGAATCTGGATGGATTTAAATCTAAACCATAAAATCATCAAAAAATAAAGATATTATGTCATGAAGTGCTTTCCAAACTTTTTAAGTTAGTGTAACCCTTTCCCCAAATGTAATTTTATGGGAACTCAAATGTATAAAGCAAAAACAAATCTATTCTTGTTGAGATGTAGATGAAATGGGGTGGCAGAGTATTGTGTTTTGGCTTTACCATTTAAGAAGAAGCACATTTGAGATCTCTCTCTAAGCTATGGAAGAACATAATTTTTAAACTATTACTGTAGAGATAGCTTTTAAAGAAAAAATCTAATAAATAATTAGTCTGTATTGCTGTTGAAATGGAAACAGACTTTTGTTTTTGTTTTGGTACCAGGAATTGAACACAGGGGTACTTAACCACTGAGTTACGTCCCCAGCCCCTTTCATTTTTTATTTTTGAGACAAGGTCTCTCTAAATTGCTGAGACTGGCTTTGAATTTGGGATCCTGCTGCTCAGCCTCTTGAGATGCTGGGATTATAGGCATTTGCCACTGCCTGGACATTTTTTTTTTCATACTGTTTCTGTGGATCAGGAATTTAAGAGTGCTTTAACTTGGTAGTTTTGACTTGATATCTTTAATGAGGTTGCAGTTAAGTTTTTTCTTTTTGTGTTGCCTGGGATTGAACCTAGGGCTTTGCACATGTTAGGCAAAAAATACTCTACTATTGAGCTATATCCCCAATTACAGTTAAAATTCTAAGTGCTGTGGTCACCTGAGGCTTCCATGATGGCTCACTTAACTGGTGAGTTGGTGCTGCTGCCTCTTCTTAGGGACTGCATGATTGTCTGCAATATGAGACAATTTGAAACAGGCTTCCCCTGAGCAAGTATCTGAGAAAGTAAGGTGGAATCTGCAATATCTTTTATAACTTAGCCTTTTAAGTCTCATTCTGTCATTTCAGTAGTGTCCTGTTGGTTACACAGATCAATCCCATTCAGTGTGGAAAAGGTTCTATAAAAGGAGGCATTGATTAGAAGATAGTTTGGCAACTGGCCATTATAACAACCAAGGAAGAAAAGCATAGACAATCAAATATACGAAGGTTAATATTTTCTAAATTAAAAACTAACATATCCCAAATAAAAAGTGCAAGAACTGTTTGGAGGAAATAATTGCATTACATATGGCAAAGGGCTGGATATTCATAATGCCTGTAGTCCCAGCGACTCAGGAATCTAAAACAGGAGGATTGCAAGTTTAAGACCAGCCTCAGCAATTTAGCAAGACTCTATCTCAAAAAATGGGAGACCGGGGCGGGGTGCGGGGGAGGCTTGGGAGTGTAGCTCAATGGTAAAGCACCCCTGCGTTAAATCCCCAGTACAAAAGTAAAGAAGGTTGGGGAGGGGGGAGGAGGAGCCAAATGCTAACTTTAAAGCAAGCTTATGTTTCTAAGCATAAAGTCTGGAGTACTGCCTAGTAGTTTACATAAGAGAGAATTGTCAGGCATATAAAATTTATACCTAAGCAATAATAGCAATGTACATCAAAGCATCAATGAAACATCATTTTACATTTTTATATAATAAAAAACTTATCATTTTACAGTTTTTATACTAATAAAAAACTGTTATCACACAGTCCCCACTTGGAATTGATGAAATAATGGTTAAAGATTTGTACTTTACTGGTGGCATTGAGTACTACAGCTTTTGGAAAATGTTTTCATAATACATCTGAACCTGACAAGCTATAAAAATATTTAATTCATTTCACTCACTGGTCTCACTTTCAAGAATTTATTCTAAGGAATTAATTTAAAAGAAGGAAAGGATATGTTAAACATAATTCATCATAGTAAATTCTTTCCTCAACTCTTATGGGTAATGTAGTCTAAGTACCTTAATGATAGGGAAGTGGTCATGTGGGTTATGGTATGTCAAATCAGCGGAATATAATCAGTTTAAGGAATATGAGTGTAGATGTTACTTGAATACAATAAGGAAGAAAAACAAAACAAAAATTTCATATTCTACAATGACAATCATATGAAGGCTTTTAGCTAGTTTTTATAAAGGAAAAGTAGAATGTGAAAAAGATGATAAGATTATGTAAGAAATGCTCATTTTCTTCAGTGTTAGTGACTGAACCCAGGTACTTGAGCATGCTAGACAAACTAAACTACCAGTTTAGATAAATTGCTCAGCGTGGCTTTGAATTTGTAGTCCTCCTGCTCCAGCTTCCCAACTAACTGAAATTATAGTCAGGCACCACCAAGCCCCATTGTTAATAATGTTTTGATGATTAACTTACTGCCTCATAAAAGAGAAAATTCTTCAGAAATAGAAAAGAAGAGAAAAGATGATTTAATAAGCCTTTTGTCGCATCAAAGAAAAGTAAGCAAAACTTTTAGGGAGAGGGATAAATCTTTTTAGAGTTGAGGGCAAATAGTCTACCTTAAATTTTTGAGACTCAAATCCATAGTGAATTCTCTCCTCAACTCTTATGGATAATATAGTCCAAGTACCTAATGATAGGGAAATGGTCATGTGGGTTATGGTATGTCAAATCAGTGGAATATAATCAGTTTAAGGAATATGAGTGTAGATGTTACTTGAATACAATAAGGACGAAACAAAACAAAAACTGCATATTCTATGACAACCATACTAACTCCTGAAAGAGTTTTTTTTTTTTTTTTTTTAAAAAGCCTAAGTGCCTTAAATCATGAGCAAATAACTTACTTTAAATGGTCAAATTTTTATTATATAGTTTAAAACATAAAAGTAACTTATTATTTTCAAAATGAGAGCACAAAAAGGTACAAAGGGAAATATAAATATAAAATCCTTCGCTTTCAAAATGCTTCTCACTGAATTTTTAGAATGTTACCAATAAAGATAGGGTTTTGTGTATTCTTTCAGAAGTGGCCTGGACATAATTGTATGCATATACATACCAGTATGTGTATCTATATTTGGAGTATCTAAATTTGGGGAAGGTGGTCTAAATCCTATTTAGTGTTAATAAAACTGATGAGAACATTAATGGCAAGCTTCTAGAATCATCTTATTTTCATATATTTTTGATTTTAAGATAATTGTCTTTTTCTACAATATTTCTGTAGTACAATTACAAAATAATTTTTGATGTTTTTTTCATTTGTGAATTTTCCCCCCCTTTTATTAGGTCATCCATCCTGTTTAAAGTTTTCCCCTGAACTAACGGTTAGAGTGAAGGCCTTACGATGGCAGTGCATCGAGTGTAAAACATGCAGCTCCTGTAGAGATCAAGGCAAAAATGCAGTGAGTATCTTTGCCTTCCAATGTGTGTATTTCACTTAGAAGTAGAATGTTAAACTGGCATTTCTATTCAAGTGAGGCTGGTCATTTGTCAGTCACTTGGTCCAGTAATATTTAGAATAGTAGCCTGTTTAAATTAGATGACATTAGTTTAGAATATTTGCTCATTTAGACTTAGAATATTTGTAGGTAGTTTATAAATCATCACAATAATAATTTGTAGAGAACTAAGCCATTTTAAGGAAATTCTCATCAAATTTCTTTGAGCAGTATGGAGACATTCATTTAGGAATGTTTGCTTCCTAATAACACATTCTCCTTTTTTATTAAAACAGACCAGGGTTAGCTTTTTTTCTGGTTGTTTCCAGTATTGAAAAGTAATGGAACTGTAGCTTTTCATTAAAGATGGAACGAAACAAAACTTTTGGCTAAATCAGACTTTTAACTTAGTTAATATGTTTAAGGGAACATAATATTATAGCTAGCTCATCTCTTGAGATGTTTGAAGCCTCCTAAGTTTTATGAAGTCATGATCTTGATATGTCTCTGTTTCATAAATTTAAGCAGAACTATCTTCTCTTTTTTTTTCTAAGGATAACATGCTCTTTTGTGATTCATGTGACCGAGGTTTTCACATGGAGTGTTGTGACCCACCACTCACGCGGATGCCAAAAGGTGAACAGTACTTTCAGAAATCAAATTGAGAGTATAAAGAAATGTTAGTGAAAGCACATTATAGCTACCATTAAAATAAAAGAATAATTGATTCTTTTGGGGGTTATATAAGTAGGAAGAGAATTGTCACATTAAGGGTAGGGAAAGTTAGAGGCCAAAACACTTACTTTGCATAATAACTTGAAATATCTCTTTTAAAAAGAGGAAATGAAATTATATTAGGTCATGTTGATTATACTGCAGCTCAGCACTTTTGAGGGGCCTAGAACTATTGAGATCTGATTTATTTAAAATTTAAAGGAAAAAAAAACTTTAAAAAAAAATAAGTTTCATAAAGTAGTAAACAAATAAGTGTCCAAATCATAAGGGTACAAGTTAATATTGTACTTTTTTGATTCCTATTCCTTGAAGTGTATTTGTTTATATGCTTTTTGGATGGATTTCTATGAAATATCATCTTATATGTTTATAGTTTACTTTAAAGAAAAATTCACTTACTCTTGTTTTGTTCTATCACAAATTATATTTTAACTCTGATTTTGTGATTTAAAAGTTTCTTAAGTAAAATAGGTGCAGGGTATTTGATAATATTGATTAGGAGAAAGTTTTCCTGTTGAAGGAAAAGGATTGAACCCTACATTATAGCCAAGTATAGAGCCACTTTAGAGCCTTACTTGAAATTACTATTAGGCCATTCTATTGATTGTTTCCTTTTGAAAAACCTTAAATTTATACATATTAGAATAAATAAATAGTCCCCTTTTCCATTTATTTGAAGTCTGAGATAAGACAAAATAAAGAAAGTTTTCTTAGGACTTATATCTTGTGTATTCTACAAAAGAGATTTTACTAGTTTAAAACAAAAAACATTATATCTTGAATTTATTTCATACTTAAAAGTGGCAAAAGAAGTAGAGAGAGCTCTCATCATATTCTTTACCTAGCTTCCCTAATATTATCTTACAGAACCACAGTGTAACTGTCAAAACCAGGAAATTAATGTTGATATAGTATGGTTAACTAATCTATAGACCTCATTTGAATTTTTGGCCCAAGATCCAATCTAGGACCTTACGTTACATTTAGTTGTCATATTACTTTAGTCTTTTTCTGTCTGTGATAATTCCTGACTGTCATTTTTGACCTCTACATTTTCTTAACCTTGGTCTGTTATTTCATAGAAAGTCCCTCAGGTCAGGTTTGTTTGTTGCTTTCTCATTATTAGAAATTTTGAATTTTGACAGTTTCATACAAGTGTTGTGGTGCCCTTCTCAGTGCACCATAACAGAGGTATATATTAATGATATATCTTATTGCTAATATTGTCAGTTTTGATCATTTGATTACAGTGAAGAAGTCTGACCGACACCTTAAGCTTATTGTTTTTCCCCTTTTCCCACTTACTCTAGCATCTATGAATGATGCTTTTTTTTTAACCACTTATAACTGTGATGGCTGCATACTGTGACTTTCTACATCCATCATTCTTTCTACATTTGTTAGTTGAAATTTTACTGTAAAGATAAACTGTCCCTTTTTTGCATTTATTTATTTATTCAATTTCTGTCATTATGAATATTTATTTTATCCTTTGGACTTTCATACATTGCTCAAATCATCCCAGATTTGGCCATTGGGAATACCTTCAGGTTGACTCCTGTGTCTTTTTTAACATGCCTCTGTCATTTTTTGATTATTTCTTTATTTTCTGACAGTGTAAGATCTTCCAGGTTATCTTATATTTTCCTTGCTCTGACTTGGAAACAACCATCACCCTTAGAAGCTTGGCATCTTTTTGTTTACAGAATAGTAATCACACCAATATCAGGGTCCTGGTTGTAGAACAGAGACTTTTAATTGAGAATTAGTGGATTCCATCCATTTGTAAGCATCAAGGGTATATGCAAATCCCTTTTAGGTTTTTTTAGAATTTTGTGTATATATGTCTTCATGTTTATTTTTCTGGGGGACTTTCATTAGATTTTTATTTGCTAGACCTTACCTGAAAGAGATTAAGATCTTGAGTAAGACTGTCTGAAACCTTTGAATTATTTATGTCTATCATACTTTTGTGTGGAATTTTACTTCTTTATAGGCATGTGGATATGTCAAATATGTCGACCTAGGAAAAAAGGACGAAAACTTCTACAAAAGAAGGCTGCACAGATAAAACGGCGCTATGCTAATCCAATAGGACGTCCAAAAAACAGGTTAAAGAAACAAAACACGTTGTAAGTTGTACTTGTGGCAAGGTGAGGGGAGAAAAGGATAGGGCTTTCTCTATAGTGTAGGATTCATTTGTTTTCTTATGAAAAAAAGTTTTTCATTGTTGTAATTATATTTAACAATGGCCAATATTTATTAAGTCCTTAATAAAGTACTAGCCTATTCTAAGTACTTTACATGCATTAATACATTTAATTATCCCTAAAACCCAATGATATGTAGCTACTGTGTTACTTCTGGTTTTTGAAAGAGGAAACTAAGGCCTAGGGAAGTTAACTTGCACAAGGTTATATAGTAAATGTTGAACTGGGATTACTGGTACTAGGTACTAAGGCATGACTTTTAACCATTGTATTGTTTTGCTTCTCACGTAAGAACATAGCAAAGAAAATTTTTGTTATTGTAGTATTTTACAAGGTTTCTTCTTAATCTATTCCCAATTGTTTATATGTATTAAGTGTATGGATCACTTCCTATTGATGTGATAGCCAAGTCCCATTTTCATGTTCTTCTGATGTAAAGTAGTGTATTTTTATCTATTAGCAAAAATCAGAAATTGTGGACTAGGAAACTAGGCTATTTCTGGAGGATGTGGGGCAAGATTGAGTAGCTAATTCTGGTTTTTAAAAAAATCTCTGTAGTAATTCATTATTGATATTATATAAACTTTCAACTGGTCTATGAATCTCTCTTTGCTCTCAAAAAAGTTTTACCTTCCTTTTCTATATTTAATACTACCTTGAAGGTGATATAACTGAAATGTTGAACATTAGCAGCCTGAAATATATACAACCAGTATGATTGTCTGTATTTTTAATCTTAAGAAATCAAGCTTTAATTTTCCTATAAAATGATCTTTTTATTTCTGACATCTAGAGAGGAACTCATCTTTGTGTTTAGAGGTAAAAGGATAATTCTGAGTTAGTATAAAGATCACAGTATTATAGGCCTTTAAACCTGGAAGAATATTAGATATTCTGGTCCAACTCTCATTTCACTAATGAAGACACTAATACTTAGAGAATGTGATTTGTCTAAGATACATTGCTAGTAAGTGACAGAATTATGACTTGAACTTGTGTTTTTGGACTTCTGACTTAGGATTTGTTTTACTATAATTAACTAGGTGTCTTGGAAATAGATGTTTCTAATAATAATAAAATTCTTATTTGTTTGCTATTTATAGTTTACAGAACTTTCTTAACAATATGTTGCACATTGTTTTATAAAGCTGTAGGTTATTTTCTATGTTGTATATTAAATTTCAGCCTTATAATGATTTCTTTTTAATAGTTCTGTTTTTTCCATGTTTCATTCTTTAGATCAAAGGGTCCCTTCAGCAAAGTTCGAACTGGCCCTGGAAGGGGTCGGAAACGTAAAATCACTCTCTCCGGACAGTCAGCATCATCATCAGAAGAAGGATATTTAGAGCAAATAGATGGCTTGGACTTCTGCAGAGATAGCAGTGTCCCCTTGAAGTTCAACAAGAAAACCAAAGGGCTCATTGATGGCCTTACCAAATTCTTCACCCCTTCCCCTGATGGGCGGAAAGCTCGAGGGGAAGTGGTAGACTACTCTGAGCAATATAGAATCAGGAAAAAGGGCAACAGAAAATCAAGCACTTCAGATTGGCCCACAGGTAAAAGTTTGAAACAAACTTAGAATCAAAAAAGTATTCCAAAAGTATATTGTTTGGAGTAACACTAATTATCTAGAATAGATATATACTTGATAATAAAACATTGATTACACAATATAAAAATTTGTTAAAGATACATATTTATATGATACTATGGCAGAATTAGAGGCTAGAGATGAAGTAGCAGAGTGGACCAGTTGAAACTCTTTGGCAAAAAGAAACTATAATATTTTGGTAGAAGCACAAAGAATCTACTTATAGACATTTGGGGTATAACTTCGAATTAAGGATAAATTTGCATTTAAAGTACTAATTAAAACATGTAATGAGCATGATGATGCTTGCTATATTCCTGGGAGGAATTTGGAAAGACCAGAAGTGGTTAAACTACTGTTGAACATACAGAAAAGACTAAAATATACGTAAATATGATAAGGTTACTGATTTTTCTTCTTCACGTTTTAAGAAATTTATTTGGAAGTTTTCATGGGTTAAATGGAGAGAGAAGGTGGGGGAGAAAACCACTGCTGCAGACAATTTGCCTGTATATTAGGCTGGGTTCCCTTGTTTTCACAGTAGAAAACATATGTAGAGAGGCTACTCAGTGGTATAGTAAGTCAGAGAATACTCTGATTAGCTGTCCTGGTAATTAAATCTTAAAATAGCCTCATTACTGAGCTTTGAATTTAGTGTACTTAATAAGGTGAAGGAAGTAGAAAGGGCTCTGAGGAAAGTAGATGAATGAGGATGAACTCTTGGATCACAAGATAGTGTTTGACTTACTGCAGGAGAATTTCTTAACTTTGATACCCTCTTCCCGGTGTCCCTTTGGTAAGTGTATTCACTGCTTCTTCATTCCTGCGTATTTAAGTGGTTGATTGGTCCAGGGCAGGAGACAATATCCTCATCATTATCAGGTTCCTCTTTTATTGATTCATTTTCCACTAGAGTGGAAATCAACTAATTACTCTCTAAGTTTTCAAGACTTTTCATATCTTTTATCAGCTTATGTAGACTTTAGATAAGCTTCATTCTGAGCATGTTTAAGAAAATATGTAATCCATTTAGGTTAGATTTAGAATGAAAGAATTTCAAAGCAAATCCTAATGAAAGACATTTTTGCATTAACCATTTGCACTAGAAATGAATTATTAAAAGAATCTTCTGGAAAGTTTTAAAAATAGAAATTGTTAAAGCAAATGTATAAAGTATACAGAGAACTATCATTAAACTTTAGGCATTGTTGTATTTGCTTTAGTAGGCTCTGTCATTTTCTTTATGAATTATAGACTTTTAAGGAACAATTTGTACATGATTTACACTGCTACAGAGTGCTGTACTAGATCTGTGCCTGCATCCATATGTGTCATGCACTAGGGGGCATTAAAGTGACATAGTACCTTTAGATTGTACTTTTTTTTTTTTTTCAGTTTGGGAATATTGTCAACAATGAGTCTTTGTCCTTTTTCTTCTTGTACTAAATGAATAACAGACAGCCTGTATGTGCAGTCGATTTGAAAAGAACTGTCACTGATTGGTCTTTTCAGCCATACTCATACAAAGAGGAAATGAGGCCATCAGCAGTGTCATCTTCAAATGCAAAGGATAATGATCTACATAACCCCAAATACTCCCTTCACTAATTTTTTTGCCCAGTTGAGGAAGAGCCATCATTTAGTGGATGATTATCATAATTTTTCATACTTACCCAGAGGATTATCATCTGTGGTCCTCAGGTTTGTGGAGTTTGTGCTTTAACAGGGCACCCAGAAAGTGAGGGGAGTTAGTACTACCTGGTATCAGTTAAGGTAGCTACTTTGGAGATTATCTTTTTGAATGTTGACACATTAAAATCATACTGAAAGTGTCATATTCATACTATTTCAAAATAAATTTTATACTCCTTGTTCTGCCTGTTAAAATGTAATATATTAATGACGTTTAAATTTGGTTATGTCATATTTTTGAAAGCTTTAAGACAACTCAGGATGTTCATTAAAAGGCAGATATAATATGTAAAGATTCTTTATTGAGTACTATCTTTCTAGAAGTCAATTTAATGCTGTCCTTTTTTCTGTTATATAATAGTATTAAGGTCTTCAGGTTGAAAGTTCATGCATTAAATTAAGGATAGTGCAAATAACATATGAGTCCTTTCTTTATGTGCAGACAATCAGGATGGCTGGGATGGCAAACAAGAAAATGAGGAGCGGCTTTTTGGGAGCCAGGAAATCATGACTGAGAAAGATATGGAATTATTTCGTGATATCCAAGAACAAGCACTGCAGGTAAAGTTGGATGTTCAGAATGGACAATCAACCAACTTGTTCATGAATGAGAAACAGAGATTTGATTATGTTGTTGGTAAAGCAGCTTATTCATCTATTCTGAGAAAGGAGTGGTTTGTATATGTAGCTCTGCTGGTTAGGGTATTCCTTTCAAAACCATAACTGTTTCAGTTTTGTAGATAAACACATTGCTTTGGTTACCAATATTAAGTGAACTTAATTTTTAAATTTTCTGTCCTATTGTATGAAGAGAAAAGCTTCTTGAGTGTAATAAAGCATACATATTCATTAGTTCAAGAAATATTTGTTAAATGCTTCTTTCTTAATCATATGTGACAGGGCAAACTATAAATATATAGATAAAAAAACTTATTTATGTGCCAGGTGCTATAGATGCCAAAGTAAATGACAGAGTTCCTTCTCTCAAATATAGTGAAAAAAGGACATGCAGGGCTGGGGTTGTAGCTCTTGTAGAGCACTTGTCTTGCATGCATGAGGCACTGGGTTCCATCTTCAACACCACATAAAAATAAATAAAGATATAGTGTCCATCTACAACTAAAAACATTTTTTTAAAAAAGACATGAAAATAAAAATCTTATTAATATGAAAAGTTTCATTATGAAGTACACAGTATTGGAAGAATAGGGAAGCAAGCATCTATCTTGGGAAGTTCAGTGAAGGGTCTTCAAGGATATAGAGTAGCTTATCAGAATAACAGGGATTGGGGTCACATCTGATTAGAAGGAACAGAAGTGAAAATGAACATATCCAAGAAAGGGGAAAGCATGCTTACTTGTCATGAATATGCTTACTTGTCATATTCATACTATTTCAAAATATATGAAATAGTATGAATATGACAAGTGGAATATATGTGGAAACTGAAGTGCTTTAGGATGAAGAACATAGGGTGTAGAGAATGTGGGAGGTGAGGTTAGAAAAGTGCAGGGACTAGATCTTACAGGCTCTTCTAGATTGTTTGTTTTTCTTTGGTTTTTTTCCTTATTTGCTACCAACCAACTTACTACATAAACCAAATTAAGTTATCTCTTATCATGAAAGTAAGTATTTATAAAATTGATGCTACAGATTATACAATTATATAACTTTTATGATTGTACAGTTGTATAATTAAAATATTTTATAGTAAGAGACCAGTTGGTGATTAGGCTGTTTATGTCTATCATTATGTGAGTACTTTTGAAAAATAAAAACATCAGTATAATTACTCAGTAAGCATTTACTCAGCATTCTATCTTATGATTTAACAATATTCTAGCTATAAGTCAGAGAGATGTGGTTTCAAGACCTGATCTATCATATACTAACTTTTACTTGGGGTAAGTTTGTCAATCTCTGAAGGCCTGTTTTTTTTTTTGTTGTTGTTGTTTGTTTGTTTTTTTCCTACCAGTAAGTAAAATGAAGCATTTTAGGTATTATAGTAGAAATACATGGAGTTTCAGTAGGACCTCAAAGAAGGAGGTATTTTCTTTATGACTAGAAGTACCTTTTGTTTCCCAGCTAAGTCGTAGACATAGTGCTAACTTCTAATTTTTTGTGTTTCTTTAAAATGAGGACATTCTTATACATGAGAATAATCAAATCAGTTAGCACAAAGTACCATTGTCTAATCCAAAGATATAATTCAAATCTCACTAATTGTATTACTGATGTTTTTTATATTAGAAGAAAAAAATAACTTTTCCTGATGCACCACATAATCCAAGATCATGTGTAGATTATTCATTTAATTTTCATTTCTCTTTAGTCTCCACAGTCCTTATCTTTCATGACCTTGGCAATTTTGACGTATACAGATCATTTATTTCATAGAATACCCATTACTTTGAGATTGTTCTGTGTTTTATCATGATCTTAAAAATACCACAGAGGGGGGCTGGGGATGTGGCTCAAGTGGTAGCGAGCTCGCCTAGCATGCGTGAGGCACTGGGTTCGATTCTCAGCACCACATAAAAATAAAATAAAGATATTGTGTCCTCCTAAAACTAAAAAAAAATAAATATTTTAAAAAAATACCACAGAGGGGATATGTTCTTCTCAGTGCATCATATTAGGATGTATGTAATATCTCTGTTCTATCGTATGTGATATTAATTTTGATTACTCAGTTTAAGTGTTTTTCTGCCATGTAAAATTATTATTTTCTATCTAATTATAAAGTGGTGACATACTTTGAGGTCATGCAAACATCCTGTTTTTTATGAAATTTTTACCTACTGATTTAGCATGATGGTTTTCACCTGAAATATTCGCTTTGTTGGTTGGCAAATATGATTTGCTAATTCCATTTTTTTAACATTTATTAATTGGCATTCTACTATAACGGATAGTCTTTTCTCCTTCCCATTTATTTATTTATTCTTTTAAGAATCAGATTACTATATGGGTTAAATAATTTGTAGATATTAATTAATTTTTTTTGTGTGTGCTTCAATTGTTCCAAGTTTGGGGAATGTCTGGCTCTTGTGTCCTTTTGATGTGTCTCATCCTTTTTATTTACTTCTGGCCACCACAAGATGTTCTAGTCTCTTACTGTTCTAGCCTAGTTACCTGGTACCTTTTAGTGGAGAATGGGAATAAGTGTTAGTTGTGTTTGTCAGCTTTTCATTGCTGTGATTAAAATACCTGAGATAATCAACTTCAAAGGAGGAAAGATTTATTTTGGCTTACAGTTTCAGAGGTTTCAGTCAATAGTCACTTGACCACATTGCTTTGGGTCTGTGGTAGCATAGTATATCATGGCAGAAATGTATAGGGGAGGAGGCTCTCACCTCATGGTAGCCAGGAATGAAAGAGGGGAGGGGCCAGAGGCCCAGTGTCTCCTTCAAGGGCATGTTCCCAGTGACCTTTCTTCCTCTAGGTCCCACCTCCTAAAGGTTCCTCCAACTCCAGGATCACCACTAACTGAAGATAAAGCCTTTAACACAAGGCCTTTAGGGAACATTTAAGATCCAAACCATAACAGTAATTCTACTTTTGTACTTGCGTAGGCTCAAAGAGGTATCATCCTTGATTCTTTATCTTTCTCTTATACTCCACATTCAGTCCATCTAACGATTCTGCCTTCCACATATATCAAGAATATTGACTACTGCTTACTGCTTCAAAATCACTGTCATCTCTGGCTTGGACTCTTATAATATCCAGACTAATCTCCTGGTTTCTGCTTTTGCCCCTCATACCAGCACGGAGGCCAGATTAATTATTATTTTTTTAAAAAAAATATTTATTTATTTATTTTTGTTTTCGGCGGACACAACATCTTTGTTTGTATGTGGTGCTGAGGATCGAACCCGGGCCGCACACATGCCAGGCGAGCGCGCTACCTCTTGAGCCACATCCCCAGCCCCAGATTAATTATTTTCATACTTAAGTTGAAAACTTGTGTTCAGAAAACCTTTAGTGTCTTTCAAACTTGCTTGGAATTTTAAAAACCAAAATCTGTACCCTCATTTCTGAGGTTCTGTGTGATCTTGTCTCTGCTTTCCTCTTTGGATGCTTTTCTTCTACTTTTGCCATTATTTACTTGTTACAGACCTTTTCTTCTTACTCACACACACTGAGCACACTAGTGTCTTGGAGCCTATTTCTATTTCGATTCTCTGTTTGATTGACTTTCTTAGTTGGCTTGCTACTCATTCCCTTTGGGTCTCTGCCCATATGTCATGTTATCAAAGAGACCTTCCCTAACTCCCTACAATAAGACAGCATATTTTTAACCACGGTGTACTACTTTCTATCCACTCACCTGTCTGCTTTTCCTACATAGTATCATCTCTTGAATTTAAATATTTATTTTTACAATATAAGTGCCTTGAGAACAGAGACTTCCTCTTTGGTCATTGCTTTATACTGAATACTTTGACTAGACTAAAGGCGCAGCAAATATTTGTTTAATGAATAGATATTTGAATGAAATTTTCTGCTGGGAGCAATGGGACAGGAGCTATATGTGATAATAAGTGTGGAGAGATCAATAACTAGAGAGTGAGTTAAAAGGGAATGATGCATATGATTTTGTCAAAAAGAACCAACTCCTATGTATAGTTCTAGTGCTTTAATAAAAAATGATAAATTTTAAAAAAAAGGAATGCTGAACTTTGATGAAGACAATGGGAAACAATGCAAATTTATGTGGCTAATTATATCTTTCTTTCACCATTTTATTAAACTTATGATGATCCATTTATGTGCCTGGTATCAAGGAAATATACAGCTAGATATTGTAAGTCTAAGTATGTGTGTGTGTGTGTGTGTGTATGTGGTACTAGGGATTGAATCCAGGGCCTTGCTGTGCTAGGCAAGCATTCTAATTCTGAGCTACACCCCCAGCCCTTTTAAAAAATTTTATTTTGAGACAATCTTGCCCAAGTTACTTAGGCCAGCCTTGAACTAAAGATCATGCTGCCTCAACCTCCCAAGTTGCTTGGGATTACAGGTTGTACTACCACACCCAGCTTATTAATTCATGTTTATTTACTTATTTATTGATTGGTTGATTGATTTTATTTTTTTAAAAATACACGACAGCAGTAGAATGCATTACAATTCTTATTACACATATAGAGCACAGTTTTCGTATCTCTGTATATAAAGTATGTTCATGCCAATTTATGCCTTTCTACATGTACTTTTTTGCATTACAATTCTTAATACACATATATACCATAATTTTTCATATCATGTTTATATATAAAGTATGTTGAAACCTAATTCAAGTCTTCATACGTGTACTTTGTATAATGATGTCCATCACATTCCACCATCCTTGCTAATCCCTTGCCCCCTCCCTTTCCCTCCCACTCCTCTTCCCTATCTAGAATTAATCTAATCCTCCCATGCTCTCCCTCCCTACCCCACTATGAGTCAACCTCCTTATATCAGAGAAAACATTCAACATTTGTTTTTTGGGGATTGGCTAACTTCACTTAGCATTATCTTCTCCAATGCCATTCATTTACCTGCAAATGCCATGA